CACCAGAGGTCCAGGACAATCTGTGAAAGTGTCACAGAGAATGGTTCCTTCCGTTGTTTGGTTAGGAACTATTTGCACTTGCAGCGAAGTGGACTGCAAAGTGCGCTGTGTGTCTTCGACTTGAGCCTGAGCCGATGCCATGGCGGCATGGTGCACAATAGGCAGACTGCGGAGTGGGCTTGACGCTTGAGAGAGCGTCAGCGACGGGATTGTCGACACCAGTGAGATTATATATGACACCAGTTAACTGCGTAACAAAGCACAAGCGCCTTGGTTCCCTTGGTGAATATTTGTCGCAAACAGAATTGAATGAGAAGATAAGGGCTGGTGGTCAGTGTAGACCGTGGAAGCGCTGCCTTCGAGTATGTGCCGGAAGTGACGAAGGGCTAGGTGACTGGCGAGCAGTTCGCTGCCAAACGTGCTGTAGCGGGATTCCGCTGGCTGCAGGCGCTTGAAAAAACCCAAGGGGTTACATTGCCCACCAACCATTGTTGGAGGACGGCCCCTACCGGGACTTCCGAGGCATTAGTCGTAATAGCAAGGGGCGCAGTCGATTCGGAATGGCGAGCAGGGCTATGTTGGAGATGGCCTCCTTGAGCTCTGCTTTGGCTCTTTGTGCCGTATCAGGGAAAGGGAACTTACGTTCAGTCCTTCTGAGCAGGTCGGTCAGCCGCTGCATAAGCCGCTTGTAGCTAGACATGAATCGTCGATGGTAGTTGACCAAATCTCAACGTCGAAGGACAAGCTTGAAGGAAGTCGGTGGTGGGAAGTTCTTAATTGCCTGGATCTTATCAGGATGGACTTGGATACCAGACGATGAAACGCTGTGGCCCAGGAGTTCTTACGTTCGTTTGACGAGTTCGCACCTAGGTGGGTGGACTGTGACACCGTGTTTGGTCAAACATTTGAAGAAAGTTTGAAGTTGGTCGTCGTGCTCTTGTTCTGGTGAACTGGCCATAAAAGTTCATTGTGGTAGGTATAGGCAAAGGTTCGGCCACGAACGCCATGGTGGATGAAACCTTGAGACGTTTCTTCAGCGTTGCACAATCCAAATGGCATACTTAAAAATGCAAACAAGCCTTAAGGAGTGATAACGGCAGTTTTAGGAATGTCATTTTCTTCTAAACGTCCGGTGCTAGGCGCGAACGGCATCGATAGTACAGAAGCTCGTCTCAAATGTGAAGCATGCAATTAGGTCCAGCATGTGTGGGATGTGATACCTATCTAGGACGGAGGCGATTAATTGCGCGGTAAGCACCGAGCGAGCGTAAGTCACTAGGTTGCTTGAAAACCGTTTGCGGGGACGAGGACCAAGGGCGGTCGGAACGGCGGATTATTTCAATGTCAAGCATCTGCTCACGCTTCGCGCGAGCTACCTTTAGTATTCTTAGCGATAGTCGGCCTTGCCGGCATGAGTCGAATGGGCCATTCGTCCGTATGTGGCGCGGGACTTGGACTGCCACAGGTGAAGCTGTGTTCATTGGATGCACGACCTTAGAATAATTGGGAAAGAGATCGGCCTAACCCTTCGATGGCGGAGGAAATGCGTCGGCTGGTGTTACGGATGCCATATGGGCGATGATAACATGTAAACTGAATTTTGTTGTAGTGTCCAATATCACCTGGCGTCTCGCATCGACCAATGGGGCAAAATGCCTGAGAAAGTAAGGGTCGATGATGGCAAAGGTGACTGCGGCGAAGGTGAATACCCTGCGGAACGTGCGCCGAAGACCTAAGTTCAGAGTAAGCTACCAATGCCCGCAGGTGGCTAATGGCGTGCCATTGGCGGCACTAAGGCTTGTCGACAAAGCAGCGATAGGCTTCCCCTGTAAAGAGGAGAATGACGTTGGTTTCCGCCCCGGTATCAACCAAGAACTGGGTCTCGAAAGTAAAAACCCTAATGTAGATGAGAGGAATATGGGCTCTGCCGACACCGTTAGTCGCGTTACGGGTGGGCCAGGCAGACCATGCGTAGCGAAGTAGCTACATGACTTATGGGCTTCATGTAAAAATACCTAACTAAATAAATACTTTATTCTCGACAAAGCGAGGCGCGCCTTTTGGGCATGGTCAGCATATTACAATATTTTACATGATAGCAGGATTAGCAGCAACCAAAGGCCCAAAGGTTGTACGAAGTCTATGTTCACAGAATGAGAGTTGTAGAGATAAGAATCAGATCATTAATGTGGAATATGTAGATGAGGAACTAGTGCGAGGAGGTTGTGTACACAGTGCTGGTCAGGTGAGTGAAGCATGAGAAAAGGGCTGAAAAAATATTTCAGACTAGTAGCATGTCACTAATGAAATATTTAGGCGTGTTCGGGAGAGAGCAGATATATGCACAGAATTTGTAAACGTGACATCGGTCAACTTGCCAATGTGTGTTAGGGACGGTGACTATATTGAGTGGCGATTCACATCCGCCGCGGCGCAGTGTCGTTAAACTGAGATTTGTGGCTTTTTGTAGAGGAAACGCAAGTGGTAAAAGCAGTAACCTGTGGTAACAGGTTTGGTGCGACGGGACGATGACATAGTGCGGCTGCGGTGCTTACGGTTTAAAGTGAGTTCCTCGATTCGGAGCTGAAGCGACGCTATCTGCGATGCTAATTCGTCTATTGCTGACGACTGGCTAGTCGCAGGTGTCGGTATGATTGTGCTAGCACAAAGCTGCGTTGGCGCCTTGGGTTTAGTACCTGGCTAGTGCCGTTCAATTAGGCGGTCTGCTATGTCTGCAATTGCTTTGGGTGGCTTGACACTTGCTACTACGAGGATAGCCTGAGTGCTTTCAGGAAGGCGTTGCAACCACAACTGGCGGAAAGCCCTACGTTTATGTGGGAAGCGCCGATGTGTTGTTGGATTTAGTGCACCCAGGCTGAGGACACCGCATCTCCTAGTTGCAGATCACTAAATAGTTTCTGCAGGCGGAAATTGGCAGAAGGCGTGATTCTCTGAATAATAACCTGTTTAAGAGTCTCGTATTTCATTACTAAAGGGAGGCAAATTATGATGTCGCCCAGCTGCGAGGATATACCCTTAGGGAGGCGAGATACCAGCTGATTAACTATGGAGACACCCGAAGAAATCCTACGAAGGTAAAAAGCGGATCCCAGGCGCAAAACCATACCAAAGGATCATTTTCTTAAAATGGTGGAGGTGCTAACGCAAATGAATTGACCATGACAGACTCAACGGCATTAACAGCGTATGAAGAGGACTGATCCTCTAAGTATTCTATTGAAACAAGTAAAAAGAATATGTGGTAGGAAAGTAAACAATATGATCACAAGTACAGAATCCCAAAATCGCTGGAGTGAGCTCACCAGAAGGAAAATTCAAACTGGAGGACGGCGTTTTCTGGTGAGAGGTCCTCAATTGTTGGTAGGAGCTTGGGATAATATTCGGTAATCCACAATAAGTAAGAGACGTTCCAAATGCGGGACCGGATGGCAGGTGGTAACTGAACGCGACGTATATTGTGCAGGCTACAAATATAGGAAGCGAATCAACCAGAGGGAGAAAAGGTACAGCAAGGTACTCACCAAAACGCGTTGTGTAAACGGAGGTGCAGTCAGTAAAAGGGTGGACCTTTTGTAGGTTAAGACAACAGTAAAATACAATGTTGCAAAATAGTGCAAGAGCATGGTTTCCGGTACACTACAATCTGGGTAAGTAATCAAGTAGAAGGAACATGTTGTTATTCTGCATTGGTGTTTTGGGCCTCTTTATTAGGCAACGTAGGATGAGACCAAATAACCTCTTCGAAAAAGCTGATGTTCGTGAATGGATTACGATCTTTTGAAAATGCAGTAGGCCGTGATTTTATTAATTGGCGTCATTTTCACCACCTTACAGGATAGTAAAAATGTATTTTTGGCACAATATAAAGTGGTTGCCCGCCATGCGAATGCCTACTACCTCTTGAAAAGCTGCCTATGAACCATGCGCAACAACGGGACTAACCCCAATCACCCAGCTGGCAACAGAGGAAGGTTGTTTGGTTAGCCTGTAAAATATAATAAAGGTACAAATTACAGCGATTATCGGACCTAATATCTCCTGGTTTGCGTTCTACATTTAAAAGCCACATGTGTCTGTTTAACCATACTGCGATATGGCTGATATTACACCATACGAAATGAAGCCCCTGTCACCATTAGTTCTTTTTACGCCAACGAGCAGGATGAGCAGCTTCCAAACCGGAACGTCACAACGGAATATACTAGCAACACACCTAACTATAATCTTATCAAAAGGCATTCAAATGCACACACTATATAGAGTCAGTAGGTTACGAGTACTATTGCAACGTATTTGTACAATTATCCATCATTCGCGTTTGTATTAACATGCTCAGGACCACGTAAACCTGACTCGCACAATCGAGACTAAACCTATAGATTTAGTTATTTACCATAGAACGCAGTTCAAGGCAGGTCTGATCATGAAACTGATTACTGCCGCCAGTAAACGGTTAACGGTGGTTAAGTTCGGAACGAAGAACAGATGAGATAGGTCCAGTAAATTTCGCAGACAAAAGCGGCAGACCTAACAGCTTTTGCTATCAATCAAAAACCTGATTCATGAGGATTTAAAGTTCCGCCCCGTAGCATATTGGTACAATGAACTTGATTGATAAAGACAACGCATTTTACTTAGCTAAGCAAGAAAGAAAGTGGAAGGTTTTAATTCGCTGTGACATCTCGCGAAGATAAGTACATACTGTTTGATAATTCTTTTGCCCAAGGGTAAACACGTACTTTTATTAAGTAGCTGGTTATTAATAATAAATTTAGTTGCCTGCATCACAAATACTGGAAACTTATATTGATAGTCGTCATTTTTTTAACTGATTCATTATTTGTCCTAGAACCTTATGAACGCTCCCAGACCCACCTTCGAGTTCTAAGGTCACTCTTGAAATCGGATTGGTTGCACAGTTGGAGCTTGGCTTCCCGGGAATCTGCCAAGCTGTAAATCGATCATCGTGTTTTACCGCCATGTGCCGCCTGGTTTTTCGGTCAACGCTCACTCTTCTTACGGTGTGTATTTGTGGAACTTGCGTAGGACACACGACAGTCTATAACTCCCTCGATGAGAATCTAAGTTCTCTGTTCCGGTTTATTACCAATCGATCGGTGATTTCTAAGGATGAGTTAGATGACTTTCTGGGAACACTTAATCTACGTCCTCATGCTCATGATCACGAGGACGAAGCACATTTACATGAAGAAAATGCCACCCACGTGAGTTATATTTATCTTGCAGCCCTCGCAACTCCGTTATCGTTTCACATTTGCGATTGCAAAAGCGAGATGTACCGTTATTTGTAGCTATTTTTGACGTTTACTTTTCCTTACAGCATTGAGAGTAGCACATTCTGTTAACGTTTTCCTCTACTTTTTGTCGGTCGCCGACTAATTTAAAACAAAAGACGTCGAGAGCTGACAATGATTCCCCTAATGCATGCGTCGTTGCCGCCTACACCTGATCATTTTAGTAATTTCAACTGCCTAACATGGTCGTCGTATGTAGGGTGTGGCTGGAATACTAGTTATCATAGGTGACGACTGATTTGTCCCAACCTATTTTGAAATTTATGCAAGGAATGGGGAACGGATCAGAAAAAGTGGGGAGCACATTAGCACTCATTTACTGGGCAGCAGCGGGTAAACTGTTCAGTTACTCCTACGGATAAGCGAAGTCTGGTAACATCTACCTCTCGGGAACGCCGACAGTGCGTAGTGGAAAAGCCAAACTAAAAGGGCTTAACTACATAAAAAAGAGCTCCCAGTCTATAAAGTATGCTGGACCTGAAGTTTGATAAAGCACGATCCTCGGTTGGCCGTCAGTTAGTCGCACAATCCGGTCGGAACAATAATGCGACGCGTTAGATCCGATGATCGATGAATGAGGTTGGCAGACCGATGATGATCAACAGCACAACACACGTAGCCGAAACCATAAGGCGAATCGAAGCCCGAAAAGTCTTTTATCGGTTGTTGGTCAGTTAAAACAAAACTGTACAGTAAATAAATGAAATGGGAATAGGAAGGTACAATCGGAAAGAGCGATATGTACAATCGTTAAAGTGTTGCTAAGTGCAAAGAGCCGAAAACCAGGAGGTACGCAGCCGTAATGCAGAAAACACGTCATGGGTTTCACAAGTACAAGCGATTAAATGTAAAGCCAAGGTAGGACTCTGGCCAAACCCTAACCCATCAACTTCTAAATCGAAGTTGAGGCCGGTTCTCTTTAAAGTCGACCAACTGAGAAAAAAGCTTACAAATGGTCCTTCTTCTCATAGTATAGAGACCTCTGGAGATTCCAAATCACCTTATGACTGTGTCCCATCATCATAAATTTGTCTGAGTTGACCGAAGCCTCCCAGATGAAAGAATGTCGCATGATCAATGGTTTCTAAACCAGATGATCACTGTTCCATAAAGGTGAGCAGGGAATCAACATTGTGCTAACTTTTCACCTTGGCAAGACATGAGGTCTTTTCTAATGTTCGTCACCATAAGGGTGTCATAATAATAACGAAGCTCGTCGCGTTTTCTGCCTATCTCTGCTGCGATACCTCTCACCAGTGGAGCGGTGAAAATTAACGATAACAGCCTGGCGCAACGAGACTGGACCTTACCGTGGTGCGACGGTTTGCGTACCTCATTGAGCTATACCGGGTTATGCCTCCGGGCACCTTGAAAGCTACTCCTACCAGGTTGGTCAATGGTGAGAAGTCAGACAAACTCAGTCTCCTGGTCCTCCAGGTTGGGGGTTTGAAATGGGATAGCATCCATTTCTGTAAAACTAAATCATTGCCACCTCCCCGCTGCCTTGCGGACAGGCTTTTGAGCCAAAGGCTTTGGATGAGGGCCCTAATCGTCCTCCTGTCTAGGTCTGGGCGCCCTGGCAGTATCTCAGCCCACATACAACCATGACATTTTCTTCAAACATAAACTTCATCCTGCATCGGCCGTCGCGCAGATTATCAAGGGTCACCTTATCTGCTGCATACAGCAGGGCGGATAAGCGAAAACATGCTACTGCTGGCATCTCCTTTCTTTTCCACCTGTTTCTCTTACTCCCATCCCGACCCCCATTACTAACCTTCCTTCTATAATTCCCAGCTTAAACGACAGCAACCGAAGTGCCACTGGAGTAGAACCATCTGCAGCCACCATCCCACAGCACCTATCGGACGCCTATCGGCAAAAGTCCCTTATAAGGCCACGCTATCCCGTTTCCATGGCGACATTCAACGTTCGCACTCTAAGACAAACAGGTCAACAGGCTGCACTCGCACGCAACTTGGACACACTGGGTATTGATGCGTGTTGTATATCCGAAACTAGGATCAATGACCCTAATGAAGTTGCTGAATTAACCGCACCTGGCTTATCCTCTCGTTCTTGATTGCACGCATCCGGAGACGCCGATGCGGCACTCACGGGTCAAGCTGGTGTAGGTATCATTCTCAGCTCCAAGGCTGAGTCATCGTTAGTTGATTGGATTCCGGTGAACAGCCGTTTATGTGCAGCCCGTTTGACGACATCAGCTAAGGTTGATTCACGAAGTAGTACAACACGCTGTATGTTTATGATTTCCGCTTATGCTCCCACCGGCTGCAGTTCAGATGTTCTCAAGGACACATTCTATCACGAACTGAATGCGCTACTACGCAGTGCTACTAGTTCAGATATTATAGTACTTGCAGGGGATATGAACACACAAGTAGGGCGTCTGAGCTCTTCAGAAGCTCAACTAGGTGGTAAATGTGTGCTTAGCTCCGAACGGACTGACAACAGTGAGCGTCTGCTGCAACTGTGGGCGGAGCACCTGTTGTTTCTTAGTAGCACTGCTTTTAGACACAGTGGGCGCCGAAGTGCCACTTGGCGTCCTCCTGTAACTGGCCATCGATGGACCCAAATTGATCACATTGCCATAAGTTACAAATGGCGTGGTTCCATCCTGGATTGCCGCTCATACTGGAGTACCTGTGTCGACTCTGATCATGCCTTGGTACGTTGTCGTTTCTCCATGAACTTTACTGGGAGGTGCACCAAGCGTCCCCTACGATTGGCAACTGAGAAATTGTCTCAGTCCTCGGTCAGGCAAGCCTATCAAGATGCACTGCATACTGAACTTCCGCAGTCTTGTCCTAATGACACTGAGCTTCAGTGGACTAGGATCTCGGTCGCCACGCACGACGCAGGAGCATCTGCTTGTGGCATTATCAGTCGTCACCGCACCAGTCATTGGATATCCGAGAGGTCGGTGAACCTGTTGGAATCTAGAAGACACCTCCCGGCTGGCTCTGAACACAATGTGACCAGACGGGCTATTAGGCGTGAACTAAAGCAGAGCCTACCTGCTGACAAGGAAGCCTGGTGGACCAGTAGGGTTCAAGAAATGGAGGAGGCAGAGGCAGTAGGCAATTACCGCAAGCTCTTTCAGCTTATCCGCACCACTGGTCCCAGAAAACCAGGCGTCAGTGAGACAATCAGTATGTATGTATGTAATCTCAACAGTCTAGTAACTAGACATAGAGCCAAGAAAACCATGGAAATCAGTGTATAAGAGACAGTCATTGCGTCATAATCGTCATGGCATGCCAGCTGAAGGTGGGCAACACACTTCAGCTAATATGCCGCAAGAAAATGGAATATTTTGACAAAAATACAGAACAAACATTTTTAGTTTGTTTGTCACACGCCGGTTTTTCTTTTTTTGTCATTTTCAATTTTTGTAGAATTAAACATGTGAATCAACACAACACTGTACACAATTCTTCCATTGATTCCGGTTGCGGGCCATGTCTTCAAGTGTCCTAAGCCATTGGCGCTCGCCATCTTTGGGTCCCCATCCTGGAAGACGTACGGGTCCAACAGCGGCTAGACACGACGTCAGCGATTTCATGTGCTGCCGCCAAGTGGAAGGCTGACCACCACGCGGTCGCTTCCAGCCAGGTCCTTGACGAGCGAATAGAGCGCGACGCGGTAGATGCTCAGGTGCCATGCGTAGGACATGACCGAGCCATCTTAACTGGCGCAACAAAACCAGTTTGTTGAAGGAAATACTTGCATTCCCCAAGACGCGACGTCGAACGTCATTACTGGTAACTCGATGTTGCCACCGAACACGAGCGATCCTCCTTAAGCAACCGTTATCGAACGCAGAAAGACGACGCATGTCTTCCACGCGAATCGGCCAGGATTCGCTCCCGTACAACAATACTGAGCGAACGGACGCGCTGTAAACTCGGCCCTTTAGTGAGAATGAGACGTCGCGACGACGCCATAAGTGCCTCAGATTGACAAATGCTGATCGAGCTTTAGCGATACGAAGCGAAACTTCTTTGTTGATTGTGCCGTCAGCGGAAACACAGCTCCCAAGGTAGACGAAACTATCTACCTGTTCAAGTTGTGCACCTTGGAGAGTGAGCACGGGTGCAGGTGAAAGCCAATCCTTGAGCAGTACTTTACACTTCGATGGGGCGAAGATCATGCCATACTTAGATGCTTCAACCGCCAAACGATCCAGAATGAGTTTCATACCCTGAGGATCGTCACCAAGTAAGGCGATATCATCAGCATAATCTAAGTCGGTCGCGCGCTCACCCGGTAGAAGCTCTAGGCCAAAATGTTGGAGAGACAATCAGAGACAGCGTGGGTGCGCAGATACACAATAAGGAGCGCCGTATGACTCGTTGGGCGGAACATTTTCAAGATCAGTTCAGCTGGCCTCCTGCTCCCGGACCTCTTCCTACTCAGGTGATGCAGGACGAGTCATGGACGGTTAGTTTAGAGCCTCCGTCGGAGGCCGAGGTCCGAAACGCGATCACAGCCCTCAATCGTTTTCGTGCCGCTGGCCGGGATTTCCTCCCACCTGCACTATTTAAAGATGGAGGTGAGGTGCTCTGCAAAGCACTGACCTTATTCGAAGGTATCTGGAAAGAAGAGAGCGTCCCGGCTAATTGGAGCGAATCGATTATAATGGCAATATACAAGAAGGGCAGTCGCACAGACTGTTCTAACCACAGGGGTATTAGTCTGACGCCAATTGTAACAAAATTATTGACCTCGATTATCGTTTGTCGCCTCACTGCGGAACGGGAATCTCGGATTAGGGAAGAGCAGGCTGGTTTCCGCCCAGGACGCGGCTGCATAGACCATATATTCACTTTGCGGCAGGTGCTAGAGCAGCGTCATGCATACCGCAGACCGACAATATCTGTGTTCCT